ACTATCATTATTCACCCCAACCCATTCAGTCCACACTCACAATTTATGTGGGTGGGGGACAATGTTAATGTGACTGAATCACTTGGAGAGTTAAAAATTAATGATGGTCATTATTATAAAAAACGGTCATTGAACCTGTCAGTTTTAACCTGTCATTATTCAATACCCCAGATATTTCTGGTTTGGAACTGTTCACATCAATAAGGAAAATGGCTACTATCCCATTGTGGTAGGGGCATAAAAAGCTGAGGCAAGAGTGTAAGGAGAGTATGAAGGTGTAGCAAGGTGTAAGAAGAGGAAAAGTCAGTTGAGGTGTGCTGGAACTGACGTAGCAGTAGGCCTGTAAATAAAGAGGGCCCACTCAGTAAGGAATAAAGAAAAGTATAAAAAGGGAGAGGAGGGTGGGGTCAAGCAATGCTACGGAACGAACGAGACAGGTGGAGGTGAGTACTGGGCTTAAATATGTGACCATGCCCCTCCCACAACTGCAGGACAAGCCTTCCCATTTGTGGTAGGGGCATAAAAAGCTGAGGCAAGAGTGTAAGTCGGTTCAGGTGTGCCGAAACCGACGTAGCAGTAGGCCTATAAATAAAGAGGGCAAAAATAGATACAGACTAGAATTTATTACAATCAACAAAAGGAAGAGCATGAATTAGATGGACATAGTATGAAAAACGTGTCTGAGTTCTTGTACTGGTTGTGGTATGAACCGAGTATGCAGAGGACTTCCAACGACCTAGTGATATAATTATATGTACAGGTATGCTCTTGCTAGACGCTGTGGAAGCCACCCCTATTCTGAAAGAGTGGCCAGAAAAGTCAGAAGGGTTGAGTCCTAGCCTTGTGATCAATGATCTGATGTAAGTCATAAATTTAGTTGTGGTAAGGACTGACTTAAAGTTAACAGTGGTTGGGAAGCATAGATATTACAAGTCAGTAGAAAGGAATCTAGGATCTTAACCGGGCACCATGTTATGTGTCGGGTGATAAGGTATGTCAATGACTTGACCATCCTGTGTAGTTTTAGTGTGAGGAAGTGTAAGTACATAATAGTCTCCCAATTTAACTAGGTGAGACCTCCTGAGGCAATATTGTAGGTTGGTTATGGTAGTTGTGGTAAATTCATGGGGTCTAAGAAAAACCATAGAAAGCTAGGTAAATGGCAGTTTTAATTACATGGTTGGTGCGAAAATCAGAAGGACCAGCATCTAAAATGTCTGAAAGACAGTGAAATAATTGGATGCCAATGGGTAACCTTCTATGTGTTAGGGTGTGTCTAGTTTGCTGAATGCCTTTAAATACAGATTTGATCTGGTAGGAGGACATGAAGCTGTATTTATTGGGAAATAAACACATGTGGTGTTGCATCCCTGAGAGGTACAATTGTATGGAACTATATGATAGTGTGAGTTTAAGGTGGCAAAAAGAAGCAAAACCTACCACAATCGACATAAAAGAATCAGTAACACCATAGCTACATAGCTAAAAAAAAAAAAGAGACCTGCGTCCATCAAGTTCAGCCAACCTCATATATGTCCCTGTCATTGATCCAAAAGAAGCCAAAAATCCTAGTCTGTAGCACTGCCAATTTGCAACAAACCAGGAAAAATTCCTTCTTGACCCCAAAATGCCAGTCAGATGTCTCCTTGGATCAAGCAGCTATTACCCCATTAATTAGAAAATATAGCCCTGTATGTTATGGTCTGCAAAAACAAAAACATTCCAATAAAACCTCTTAAACAAAACCCTGTCATAAGCCATGCACGTGTTAACGGAAGGAGAAAGTCAGGCAAGGTGACAGCTGTGGAACAACAAGGCAAATAGTCCAGGATCAGCTCCCGAAAAAAAAAAAAAGGAGGGGCGGCAGTGGCAGAGGGGGAGGCTGTAGGCAGAGCTGCGAGTAAGGCCTGAAATTGAAACAGAGACAGCCTGTCAGCAGCAACATATCGTGACACCTGGCACAAGAAAACAGGACAGAAAGAATGATGACTAGCCGCCAGTCATGTCAATATCCTGAGGAACCTCATACTAATGAGGGAGGAAGAACGCCCTTTATTAATGATGTGGCCCGGCTGTCAGAAAAACAGCGAACCGGACAACCCGACCCCAAACCACAGCAGCCGCTACAATCGGGTAAAGTTAGAAAAGAGCAGAGGTAGAGGAAAAAACCCTCAATGCCCAGGACCCCCACTGGACAAGCACACCAGAGCCACTATGAAACGTAAATAGCAGAGAAGCCGGTAGTGGCTGCCGCATCCAACCATATCGTGGTGATGCCTCCGAAATCACGGGGAGGAGGATACTCTCCCCATTCAAGGAGAGCAGATCCACTGTGGCACGATCATCAAGTGTGATCCGGCTAGCATCGTGAGGGAGATCGCTGTTGGACCGCGACAGCAGGGTAAGTATCTTACGGTCCAGTGGAGTCGACAGGACGTACAGCAGCGGCTTGGGGCGACAGGAGATCAGGGAAAAAACAGAGCCCAAATGGAACCCAGGCAGCGACTCCCTGTGGGATAATCCTCATAGCAAAATTCAATAACCCTAACAAAGATTGTAACTCCCTCCGGCAGCAAGAGCTGGTGCGAATATACATCAATGCACGAGAGTATGACAACCATTTTCTCCTGGGCAGACTGGCCGGCATGGAAACAGTATCAAGACAACTACCCAGGAAAGTAATTAAGGTGTCCGGAACTACCGTTTTGTCTGTTGTACACCCAACAACTCGAAAAAAGGGGAGTGGCCCCCTTCAGACTATGTGGGGGGGGAACGTGTTCACCTCAATCATAACGATGTCGTCCAGGTAATGGATGACTGCTGGACACCCATGACAAACAGTTTCAGGCTACTTTTTGGGACCGAAAGTAAGCCGGGAGAAAAATAATACAGGCCCATCCATGTAACACCGTGCAGGTGTCAGAGCGTAGGGTGTATCAGCAAAAGCTAAAAGCAATGACAATGCCAGTGTTACTAAGGCAAGCGCCCACCCCAGCTTTAAGGATGGCAGAAATGGCATTATCTATTGTGGAATAGATAGGGAAAAAATTCCTCGGACGGAATCAGGGAATACAAACTAGAAGCTTCCTGTTAAGCCTGGGGTCCCGGACCTTGAACACGACTGACAAAACCCCATAGGCATAAGTCTCATTCACAACGATATCTTGAGAGACAAAGAGATGCAAAAACCAGGTTCACGTCCTTGCCATCCAAGACATCCTTCAGAATATGGTCCGGGATGACATCCAGAGGGGTACCAAAACTACATGACAAATTACCTTGACCAACTAAGGGAGGGTCAGCCAGAACTGGAGCGGGAAAGGCTGGCCGGTGACTCTGCCCGAGAGGCAGTTTCCAGTCTGTCCAAAGTCTGGTTGATATGCCCCATGGATGCCACAAGAGAAGACCACATGGAGTGCACATCAGAGGGGTCAGCGCCACTTGGACTTTCTCCAGCCTCTGCAGAGGAGGAATGCAGCAGCCCGAACAGTTCGGCCATCCTAGTGTATGCAGGGAATGGGAGCTGACGTTTCCGAAAAAACGCTGCGAGGCGAAGAATAGACCAGGATCCGAAAGAGGCAGGCATGGCAGAAACTCCCCTGTGAGAAGGAGTACCAGACCTAGCTGGAGTGCCAGGCAGGAACAAGTTTTCGCCACCTTCCGATACTTGATCCATGCTAAAAGAAAGAAAGCGAGAAATCAGAACAAGAAAAAGACCAGAATAAGTGTAGGACCAGTGTGAGCTGGCTAGCTAGCTAGTGCCGCAAGGCGGGCGAAACAATTAAACTAAGTTGGTGACAGGTGAGGCCCTGCTAGATGCCAAGCGACTTGAGAGGCTCTATCTATGCATTGGCGCGAGGGGATTTTGTGGCCACCGAACGTTGTGGCAGGGTGTCGGCCTCTCGGTGACAGTTAAACATAAGATAGAATGGGAGTGACAGGTGAGGCCCTCTCTATGCCCCGTGCGAGGAGACTAACTATGATTTGGCCTGAAGGGCATAGTATCTCCGAGTGTGAGGATGGGTGTTGGCCTCGCGGGACCACTAACCTAAGACTAAGAAAGCCAGGGGGAGATAACCACCATTGGACACCTAAGACCCTGATAGCCAGCCACGTCTAGACTAGGTGGGGTAGCGATGTGCTAGACAGGACGTACCTGGGGAAAACGTGTAACAACAACGTAGGGGAAGTATGAGGCAGCAATGTAAGGCAGACATTATCTGGAGCGCCGAGTAACCATGTCAGAGATCAGGTGGTCAGGCCATACAGAGGGAGCAAGGAAATAGGAAATAGAACGTGTATTGGTGTATGGCCGCCCGGGGCCTGTATGGGTCAGAGCGTGGACCCAGATACAGAAAAGAAAAACACAGAACAATAAGACGTACCTTCCAGGAGGTAGAGTAGCACGAGAATTAGGATGGCAAGAACACAGCCCAGCAAAGCAGTGTACTAAAACCTGAAAAAGAACACAGAGTAGACAAAGCCATAGGGGTAAAAAGGAAACCCAAACTGAACATGAAAGAGTGAAGCAGAGAACCAGAGAAGCGAGACAGAAAGCAGTTACAAAAACCAGATGAGCAAGGAGAACAACCACAGGGGGGACACACTAACCTCAGAAGGTAAAGTAAAACACAGTGACATACCTTTAGATTGTATTACTCCATTTGTAATTGCAAATAAAATGAGAAAACCCCCTACTTTAAAGCAGTATCAGTTTTTTTTGTTTTTTTTATATATAAAGATATATAACTTATTTTATTTCTTAATTATTATTTATTTTTATTTTTTAAATGTGAATAACGATCATCACCACTAGGGGTCAGTAAAAGAAGAAAACGAACCATGCGAACGGCAAGTGGTTCGTCAGGACGGATAGAAAATAGAGCAGGACAGGAAACAAGCGAAAGGAGAAAACTCCCAAACGGCGAGTTTGTGAGGTAAAACCAACGAACACGTGGGAAAAGAAAACGAGACAGTGCCGGAGAAAGACCCAAACGATGATGACGCTGTTGGACCGCGACAGCAGGGTAAGTATCTTACGGTCCAGTGGAGTCGACAGGACGTACAGCAGCGGCTTGGGGCGACAGGAGAGCAGGGAAAAAACAGAGCCCAAATGGAACCCAGGCAGCGACTGGACGTCGGAAAGGCAAGGAAAACCACGAGGACCAGGAAAGGAACGAGGAGAGGCGAATGGAACCAGTGTCAGTCAAGCAACGCTACGGAACGAACGAGACAGGTGGAGGTGAGTAGTGGGCTTAAATATGTGACCATGCACCTCCCACAACTGTAGGCCTAGCCTTCCCATTTATCCAAACAAAGAAAATGGCTGCTGCGCAAGCTGCAGTTAGACTGCTATGGGAATGTAAAATTCATTATATGCAGTCTACTATGACAATATAAAACTAATCTCTTCATGGATGAATTAATAACATTAATAATATGAAGAGATGTGTTTTATATTGTCATAGCACACTGCATGGTACAAATTTTAAATTGTCATGTTATGACATTCTAATGCAACATACATTGTGCACAGTACCCATTTTTTTTATTGACGTGAACAGTTTCAAATCAGAAATACCTGGGCTGTTGAATAATTAATAATAAAAGCCCCTGGTCTTTTTGCCTCCAAGCAATGCACCAGTAAGAGCTAAAAATCTTTTAAGTAAACAACTATACTGTAAAAATGAAACCTCTTTTTCATTAAGGCTATGTATGTCATGGCTAGGGGAAATTTGGCAAGAGATGCAAAAACAAAGTATTTTAACTCCTAAACTGCAGGGCATGATTTACACACCAAAACTTCTTCATTAAACTTAAATGTGTGCCCTGACCTGCCTATGATCTATATAAAAGTTGGTAAATCCATTACCAACACAAACTAAAACTACAATGACTTGTTTCATTGTGTCTGGAGTCTGCCATTGTCTGTAGTGTCCGCTCCGCTCACTCAGTCCCTCTACAAACTGGTAAGTAAGTCTCCTCTCTGCCTGCTAGCTCTGCTCCCCTCTACTTACTCTGCTCCCCTCTACTTACTCTGCTCCCCCTTACTTCAAGTTACTTGCTCGGTTCTCTACTCCCCTCTACTTGCTCTGCTCTCCCTTACTTGCTTTGCTCCGCCTTACTTGCTCTGCTCCGCCTTACTTGCTCTGCTCCGCCTTATTTTCTCAGCCCTCTACTTGCTCTGCTCCCCCTCATTTTCTCAGCCCCCCTTTTTTGGGCTCAGCTCCCCCTTTCTTGCTTTGCTCATTCTTCTCTCCTTTGCTTGCTCTTCTTCTCACTGCTCTTGCTCTGCTCTCTGCCTACACTCTTCAATCTAATAAGGTGTGACCGCATCGCAATGTGCGCTCCCGCACGCTCCCTCTGGTCTGAGGTCTGCCTATGATGTAACGCATGCTGGTGCCGCTCAGCAAGCACTCAGCCAAAGCAACTAAAATCATCATGGAACTGACAGCCGCGAGGTGAGACTCTTACCTCGCGGCTGTCAGTTCCCTGATGATTAAAGCAGTGCTCCTTTGCTGCGTGGCGGCAAGTGCTATTTTGTTATGACAACGTCTCCCAGCAACGCCACTGTCTGCCAGCCCAGTCTTTATTTTGTTGGATTTAATGTCAAACAGGAGCCTAGCAATTACCTGCACTCACCTGAATGCCTACTTCTTCTACTGGCCAACATATTTTCTTTCCTTGATGACACACTGGTGGCAGCCCACAGTGGCTGGGTAAAATGGTGGTAGTGGATGAGGTCCAATCTTGCTGCAAACCGTACTTGAGCACTGTAGTGTTAGGCCTTCTCAAACACTGTCCATGTCAGCGCATGTTGAAACTTCACTTTAGTCATGGTGGAAATTAGGAATAGCAGAGGGAAATTCCACAACTCCATTGGTGTTGACTCCCCACTGGATTGGACTATAATAGCGCTACTAGTGTCAGTTCTTATTCCATTTACGAACTTGACAAAAACTTTTTGCCAATGTAATGTCAGTTTGAGGCAGGCCATCCTTTTGTTCAATCAGCTCATAAAAAAATTACTTAAATCCCCTTCCCTTTTCCTTTTCTCCCATATTGGGTAAATGAACTGTGTATGACTATTAGTGGGGCTACTCACTTACCACAACAGAAAACAGCACTCCTTCAACACCATGTTCCGGAGGTGACGGGACTATATAAACCGACATAAAATCCCTAAAATAGTACTTGCATACAAAACCCATCAAGACACTGCCATACAAAAGACGGGATATATAAAAATATATATATATATGTCCTATAGGCTGACAGATTACTGGTGTGCATTTTGGCCCATCTGCCACATTGACAAAATGTAATGTACAATATCTATGTAATGTTCAGTGTCCCATCGAGGGCTTACTCAGCAGCAAACACCCAAGCAACTTGTATCTCATCCTCCTCTGTAATGTGTTAAATATTTCTGTCAATATAAAACATGTTCATTTCCCTTACTGCTATCAGTTACTGCTTTTATGTTCTTTACTATGTAAATCAATAAAAACTATGTATTGAAAAAAAAAATACTCAATTAATTTACTCTTGCTGCTACACTTTTTTTGCAAATGCCTTTCATAGTGGTTTTGCACTGCCTTGCAGTGCTTGCTACCTCCGCAAAGGCAGTTGGGAGAAGCTGATGCTAGGGCATTGTTGTTTTCCCACACTGAAGAACGGTCAATAACACTACAGACTGGATGTGTGGGGAAGCTTTGTTCTTGTCAGGACACAAGCAACAAGTGGGAGGTCAATTTCCCACTGATTTGTTCTGTTTATTTTTGGATAAATCCCCTATTTTGAACTTGAAATGACTCCTGTTCCTGATGTTTCAATAATACAAGATAGCAACATGAAAAAGACAACAATCAATAAAACTATGTTCTCATTTTCTTTTAATCCAGATATATAGTAATGTAATTTTGGCAAGTCAGAATTGACATTGCAAAAATACCTAATATTGCATTTCTGTTACTTAATTGCATAGTTAACTAATGTTCTAGGATAGAAAAAGACTCAAGATTCAAAAGACTAAAATCCATCAAGTCAATCTTTAGCCATTCCTTTATGTTTTTTTTCCAAAATAATTTAACCCCCCCCAATTGAAGCCATTTATAATTTGCCACAAAAAGGTGGAAAAAAAAAAAACCTTCCTAATTCCATAATGGCAATAATATTTCTACTTAAAGGACCACTCTAGGCACCCAGACCACTTCAGCTTAATGAAGTGGTCTGGGTGCCAGGTCCTTCTAGGGTTAACCCATTTTTTTATAAACATAGCAGTTTCACAGAAACTGCTATGTTTATGAATGGGTTAAGCCTTCCCCCTAATCCTCTAGTGGCTGTCTCATTGACAGCCACTAGAGGCGCTTGCGTGCTTCTCACTGTGATTTTCACAGTGAGAGCACGCCAGCGTCCATAGGAAAGTATTGTAAATGCTTTCCTATGCGACGGGCTGAATGCGCGCGCAGCTCTTGCCGCGCGTGCGCATTCAGCCCAGGAGGAGGAGAACTCCGCGCCCAGCGCTGGAAAAAGGTAAGTTTAACCCCTTTTCCCCCTTCCAGAGCCAGGCGGGAAGGGGACCCTGAGGGTGGGGGCACCCTCAGGGCACTATAGTGCCAGGAAAACGAGTATGTTTTCCTGGCACTATAGTGGTCCTTTAAATCAGCAACCCATTCACACACTGTGACGAAGTGCCCTTCGCCACTTGGTCCTGGAGAGGCCTTCTTGCCAGTCTCCTCCCCTGTGACTATGACTCTTTCATCTATCTGGCTTTAAAGCCCCTAGTCTACCTTCAGACAGACTATTTATGTGGGCTGCTTTATTTATCCTATGTTTTAGTCACCCTGTACCCATTATAGGTGCAGGGTGTGTGTAATGTAATTGTTTATAGTGTGTGTGTGTGTACTGTGTAATGTATTGCCTGCTCTCTTGTTTTGCTGAGGTTTGCTACCAACTAGGTGGGTTTGGCTATGGAGCTGGTCTAGTGCCCTCTGTTGGTAGCAACAGCAATATGCACTACCTGAATTGCAAGACTGGTAATTTGCATATTCGGGTAGATTTGCATATTGCTAATTCTGCAGGCAGGTGAGATATTTACTGTTAAATATTGTCTTCCCCCACCCTTTTAAAAATGTGCCATTGTGTTGTGATAAGTCACTGTGTGTTTCTTGATATGGTTTGACTGTTTGTGATTTTATTGAGGTTTCACAACAATGTTATTGTGGTGACTGTATTGGCTGGTCCCAAGGGAATAAAGGTTTTGACAGTTCTTCTTGATCCCTCTAAACGTAGCCTTGTCTCGTTATTGGAGGGAGCTGTTATAATCACACTGGGGATTGCTATGCTCTGCATGCTCCCCTGAGCTTGAGTCACTTAGCTCTTTTAAGAGCTTGTTCCTGATATGCTCTCCTTGGAGGAGGGGTCTTCACCACACAGTCCTGGATGCTGGAGGTTTATACAGGGTGGAGAAGAGTTCTTTCCCACACAGTCCTGGAGGACAGAAGCTGATCCAGGGTGGAAGGAAGACGGCGAGACTCCAGTCAAGATACGGCGGTTGCGGAGTCTGCGGTGGTTGTGGTGTCTGCTGCAGTGCTTGGGAGTCCTCAGGAAGCGCTAGGAGCATCCATCAACGGAGGATACTCAGTCGGAGTACAAGGAGCTCCGTTACATTGGTGGCAAGCGGCGGGATGGCATCCTAGTGCGAGGAGAAGCAGCTCGGAGACACCGGTAACGTGTGGCAGTGCGAATTCCAGGGAGCCGAAGGTGTCGTCCTTCCTCCCCAGCAGCAGTGTGTCCTACAGGGAGCAGAGACAGTTGGTCTCTCTCTCCAGCAGCAGGACAATATTATGGGAGTGGAGACAGGCGGTCTCCCTCTCCAGCGGCAGCCTGTGTTTCAGGGAGAGGAGCACAGCACCCTATCTCCCCAGCGGCAGCTTACCCTACCAAGGGGAGACACCAATCTCCCAGATGGCGCAGAGGGGACCGTGGTCTCTGTGCCCAACCTACAGGGATGCTGGACAGCCTGTCCAGATCCCCAACTACCCTCACAGGGACAACAGGAGGAGGGGGTAAGTACGAATTCCCCGCCCCAGCTAACTCCTAACTTGGCCCCAGGGTTAACAGGGGAGATGTTAACCCCCACTGACCCCCACGTTCCCCTGGCTATTGAGCCGGACTATGTCCCAATCCCCCCAGCGGAAGAGCTGGCAGCTGGGCAGAGTGCAGTCGGCCTCTGCCCTC